TTCCCTCAGTATGAGCGTTAATTTGAATGTTCTCTGTCCAACTACCTGCTTTCATAAAGGCTGGAGAAAGATGATTATATCTAAGATAGTTACTTCCTTTCTTTCTGAAACTGAAGTTACTGGGTGAATAATGCACAGAGTGATCATGTAAGCTTTGCTCCTTAATGAAACCAAGCTGAAACAAATCTGTGTTTACCAAAAATTTTATGACAAAACAAGCTCGAAAGATCTTCTAGCACAGCAATGTGACACAATAGCAGTGATAAAAATACAATACCTTGGGCATGCCATCACTCTCTCCCATAAGATAGTCTATCAGCTGATTTGTTAGGGCTTCATCTTTTGCCCGTCCCACCTATTAAATAAGGACAGAAGAAATTACGATATGAAAGGAAAAAATACTTACTCATAAGGAGGCTTTCCATAAAACCACTGAAACTACACAGATTTAAAACATGATTTTTTTAGTTCTGTATGTTCAAACCAGATGATTACTTGGTTCATCAGCTTTGACATGCAGTAGTTCATATTTATTTTCTACTGTGCTATGTCAGGGAATACAACTAAATAGGCCTCTACCAGCATGAACTCCTGTCCCTCCACCTGCAGAGGAACAACCCCATGCACCAGTATATGCTGTGGGCCACCCAGCTGGAAAGCAGCTTTGCAGAAAAGGACCTGGGGGTCACCAAGTTGAACATGAGCCACCAGTCTGCCCTTGCAGCAAAGGTTAATGGGCTGCATTAGGAAGAACGTGGCCAGCAAGCTGAGGCAGGTGATCATTCCCCTCTACTACAGGTGAGGCCACACCTGGAGTACCGTGTCCAGTTCTGGGCTCCTCAGTACAAGAGCGAGAAGGACATACCGGAGAGAGGCCAGCAAAACACCACTGTGACAATGAAAGGCCTGAAGCATCTCTCATGAGGAAAGGTTGAGAGAGCTGGGACTGTTAAGGCTGGAGAAGAGAAGGGTTGGGGGGGGAAAACTTGTCAATTATATAAATACTTGAAGGGAGGGTGCAAAGAGGAAGGAGCCAGGCGGTGCCCAGTGACAGGACCAGAGGCAATGGGCATCAGCTGAAACACGGGACGTTCTATCTGAACATCATGAAACCCTATTTCACTGTGAGAGTGACTGAGCACTGGCACAGGTTGCTCAGGGAGGTTGTGGATTCTCTCTCCTTGGAGATACTAAAAAGCTGTCCGGACATGGTCCTGGGCAAGTGGCTCTAGGTGGCCCTCCTTCAGCCGTCAGGAGGGTTGGATCAGATGATTCTGTAACAGAGAGTGAGAATGGAGGTGTACAGACCTCTCTAGTCATAGTGTGCAGACTGAAAAAATCAGCAAAACTGAAAAATTGTATACGGAGATTGCTAAAAAAAAAAATTCCAAACATAGGTGTCTTGACACACAACAACAAAAATCTGAATGAATTCATAAACTATCCTTTGAAGACTGGAAACACATTTTCCTCTGGTGCCAGTATTAACTTATTCTACTTTTTTAATGTTTAGATATCACCTTTACCGATACAGTTTTCCTTCTATTTGCAATCTGTCCAAACACACTCACTGACACTAGGAAAATGTCTCAATTCTGAAGGTAAACTTCTTGAAAAGATGAAGAATTTTTTGTTGTATCAAAGTTGCTTACTGTTTCAATTGCCATTTCTATAGCCAAGTTATCTTCTGTGCTTGGACTTTTCATAAAGTGCTTTAATGCCTAAAATGATGCAGAAGAAAAGTTAAAACTGCGACACATGAAATTAACATTTTACTAATTTTTATCAAGTTATTTTTCTGCATTTTGACAGACAAGTGGCACACTGAATGCTTATCTTGACTCTATTTTACAGCCATAAGGATAACCACATACACAGAGGTAGCAGCTGCTCTTACAGGTATTCCTGCAAGAAAAAAAGAGTTGAGTCTTTCCCAAATTCTGGTGTATACCTTCACCTAACTGTGAAAGATGTTCACAGCAATATGGTGAGAAGAAATTAATGATTAACGTGCCATTGGCCCCAGCTGAAAGAGTGGTGACCTACAATGGCTGTAATTTGCAAAAATCGGTAATATTTTTTTTGTATCTGTTCAGTATGCAAAAACATTTAATAAGCATCAGTTCACTGATTTGTAACTGATCAAAAGGAAGTGTGTCAATCGACATACTTCAATTAATATATTTCCTTTTTTTTAAAAAAGCTATGTTAGGGCATGCTACAGTATTTAATTAATTAATTAGTCAGCTACCAAGTCTTCATTAGTCAAGCTAATAAATAAATTCTACTTCTGTGTTCATGACATTTAGAGATTCATTGAGAATAGTGTATCATTGATCTACCTGGAGCCTCTACTGCTATGAAAAAGTTATGTACATGGCAGTGTGTAATTCACAGAATACAATGTAGATAACTGTAAATATAAATAGTTTACTTACATTTTTAACACTTTTTAACAATATCAGAATGTCATCAGTTAAGGCAGCTAAAGTCTACTATTAACTTCCCTGATTTTGAAGTATTGGATTTTGAATGGTTTCTATGAACATTTAACTGTCACTGTTTTATTCTTTAAGTACTGACCCGTCCATATTGACCACACAGCAAGAAAAATTTTCCCGCCTGGAAATATTTCTTTTCTCCTTCAAAATATAATGCAATGCTCTGATAATCTTCATTGGTAGTACTTTCAGAACCTGCAACAGAGATAGCAATGATACCAGAGTTTTCTTATTAAATAAGACAAAGGCCCTACTGAAGGAACAAATTCCTATTCTATAGGGTTTTTTCTACTGACCAAAGAAAAGCAAAGCTAGCTAAACTCAAATTATGTCTTATACATTTTTTTCCTATTTAATCAGACATTAGGAGCTAATATTGCAGTGAATTAATTGTTTCCATAGGTTTTACAGCATAATAGGATTTCTGTTTTTTTAACAGACCAAATAAAACGGCATAACTAATGATTTTTTCCATTATGTCTTGGCAACAATAAAACAGAGCAAATGATTACAAGATTATCACCTGAATCATTTTCAGTTCAAGAGTATGCATGTATATCTGTTTCACACAGAGCAAGACTATCAGGACCAATGTAACCATGTGGTAGCAGGGAATACTACTTAGTCTTAGACTCTATTTCACTGTACACATCTCAAACAAAGACAGCTACTACTTCAAAGTTAGTTTTAAACCCTTTTTCCACGCACTTAGATTACAATTTGAGACATGCTATTTTGGATAGGAGAGAAGGAAGAAAGTATAAGGACCAGTAGAACAATAGTGGTCAACTTGACAAGCAGCTGCAACAGGACATCACCAAGCTAGCTGTTGTCAAGTTTTTATAACCTTCATAACAAGAATATATTTTTTAAAGGAAGAGATTAATTGAAAATAGGAAATAATTTCATAGATACATATGTGGAACTGTTTCCACAAAGAATGGTGCCTAACACAGGTGAAAAATACAAAATTTATTGCAAATTAACAAGCTGGCCACTGTCTGGATGGCCTGAGGTAAAAGTCAGCTCTCAGTAACGTCTCCTTTTTGTCTCTCACTGAGACAAGAGGCCACAAAGGGCCTTAAAGGGAAAAATAAAGGAAAGACAAGTGATGTATTTTGGAAAGAGCTGGAACTGTGAAAAAAGGAAAAGAGGGCATAAAAATCAAGAACTGTACCAGTACAACTGTTTTAGAAAAGCAGTACTATGTGTATCAAGGTCAAAGAAAGGGATTCCTCAATGGACATAAGAGTGTAATAGTCTAGACAAAAGCTTCACCTCTATGGATAAACAGAAAAAGCTCTATCGCAGGCAAGAGTTGAAAACAACCTAGAGTGAAGACCAAGAGAGATACCTAAGCTGAAAGCAAAGCCTAGTCTGTAGGCCTGAATTAGACACAGACTGCCAAACCTGTCCACGGTGACTGGAAATGGAAAAAGCTGGGAAACAAAAACTTCACACCCCTTGACTTATGATTTCAAATTGGTCTAAACCAATTAAAAGAACAACAAAACATACTGCAAGCAAACTATTAACCTGGAATACTCACTGATTATATCAGCATAAATCTCCATCTTGTTGTGTTGTTGAGCTAATGTGAAAGCTTCATTATTGCACTTGGACATGACCAGGAACTGGATGGCAGAACCATAGTCACCAAGCTGCAGAAAGAATCTAATCAGAACGAACAAATTAATACCTTAGTACTAATTAGCATAATGAAAACACTAAACATTTTAGGAATGTGTTATATTTTGTAGCATACAAATATGATACATTTCTAATTTATTTTATATCTCAATTATTTTAAACAGATTACTAAAATTAACTTAGTATAAATAATACAACATGGCAACTTTTATTATTGCCTAAACTTTTTACTTCAAAGTAATGTCATTTTAATCAGAAAGTTGAAAAAAATAAAAAAACCCAGTACCTGCTTAGCAGTCCAAATTTTAAAGAACTCCAATCAATAAACTGAAATATATAGTCATTGGCCAAGTACCAATAACCAGAGTCTGATATGTTAGCAAGCTTCACCAATTTCTAATAGGTATGGCCTCTTTCATCCTTTTTTTTTAACTTGCATAATATGATTGTGTGCTGGTTTTGAATGGGGTAGAGTTAATTTTCTTCATAGTAGTAGGGGCTATGTTTTGGATTTGCACTGGAAACAGCGTTGATAACACAGGGATGCTGAGCAGTGCTTACACAGAGCCAAGGCCTTTTCTGCTTCTCACACCACCCCACCAGTGAGTCCGCTGGGGGTGCACAGGAAGTTGGGAGGGGACACAGCCAGGACAGCTGACCCCAACTGACCAAAGGGATATCCCATACCATATGACATCATGCTCAGCATATAAAGCTGGGGAAAGAAGAAGAAAGGGAGGAGAATGTTCAGAGTGGTGGCGTTTGTCTTCCCAAGTAACCATTACACATGATGGAGCCCTGCTTTCCTGGAGATGGCTGAACACCTGCCTGCCTGTGGGAAGTGGTGAATGAATTCCTTGGTTTGCTTTACCTATTAAACTGCCTTTTGTCTCAACCCACGAGTTTTCTCACTTTTACTCTTCTGATTCTCTCCCCCTTCCCGTCGGGGAGGAGTGAGTGAGCGAGAGGCTGCGTGGTGCTTAGCTACTGGCTGGGGTTAAACCACGACAGATTGTTACCTGGCCACCATCTTTGCTCCGTCAAGAGACTGTGTTTCTCTCACAATATTAACAGCCTTTTCAGGATTATTGAGGTGGTCCAAATATAGTCGAATTACACTGTCCCATTGTTTTGCATGCTCATAAGCTATCACAGCTTCCTTGTACCTGGAAAATAATGTCTCCACATCAGTTTTTCTAACTTTTAAATAACTCTTTACAATAGGCTGTGAAAGAAACACACAGAGTTTTATTTCTGAGAGGTTACTCTGTGACACCTTCCTTTCAGTTTGCATATAACAGCCTCATTCTGCATTTAGTGTGTTTTTTTGGTCTCTATTTCATCTTCTCTTGGGAGAATGAAAGGCAGAGATAACAGAAAAATATCTACCACAATACTATTTTTGACCTACTCTGCCAGCATCCCTTTTGGTATATCTTAAAAGCAGTTCATCTGTTACATCAGTTCCATATGAAATCACTTGGGAGTGAGAGAACAATGAAAACCAAACAGCTGATAACTGGTTGTACAATTTTAAAAAATGAGACTTCTTCTCTGTTCTGTAAACAAGATCAAGAAATTTCTCATTCTCATACTACGCAATTGACACAAATAGTATTTTCTATTCTCGTCAATGCAAACATTTAGCTTTGGTGCTATTTCATATTATAAAAGTATCATTATTCTGAAACACATTTCCTTACAGGAAAGGACTAGTAGAAACCACATTCTGTGATTAAATTGGGCTATTAAATTGGCCCTATATTGGGCTTTCATTTCAGCCAATAATTTCACATTATTCAATATTTTGCAAGTGTAGCCATTAAGATGTAACAGTAATCTGGTTCTAGAATGAAAAATTTTCTTTCATGGTTATTCCCCCTTTGAACGACCTTTAAAAATCACAGCTAAGGACTTGTTAGAAACAAACCAGACTTCAATACTCTGCTAAGGGGAATATTGTATTGGGTGCAGTACTTTAAAGTCTTCAGTGATTTTTGTTAAAAAAGATATTAATGCTTAGATAGGAAAACAATCAATTAGAAACACATCTTTGATACTAGAAGAAGGTCCTTAGGTTATGTTTAAAATCTTTACACAACACCTTAAGTTTACAAACTTCAGAATCCATTTTCACAAGGCTATTTTATGCAAAATTTAAAGTCTGTTTTTTATTTTACAAAAAGGGTAATGTATAATAACAACATCATCATCATATTTTATATAAAAAGGTCAGCATTCAAACGCACCTGCCATCTGCTTCTTTGGCTTTTGCATATTGTAAGTGAATCTTTGGAGATGAAACATGAGGAAGTAGTTCACCAACCTTTGCCCTAGAAAGGCAACATAATAGTTATTTAATAAATATATCTGGCTTCAAATTTGCTCCAGTAAAACAGGCATATTTATATCAACATTGAAAAGGAGCCTACAGAAAGAAGTAATTGAAAATAATGTATAAGCTTTGAAGGCACTTTAATATATTCAAAAATTTGCACTTTACAGATGTAAGAACTGGAAATTATAGACTGCTTCATGAATATACAGGCTTAAAGGACAGCATCTTCTCTTTTTTAAGTTTGAGATGTATGAGCATAACAAGTGCCAGACCAACAATTTTTACCTCTGGTATTCTCTAATTTACAGAAGCAGCACAGTATTAAAACTGTAACCTGAAAGAATGTGCAAAAGAGTACAAAAGACCACTAGTACAGGTGCAATTGTGATTATTCCCGTGATTGTGTGCTTAAGGCCATAGTCTGTACAGAGGACTCTAGGCAATTAGAACCGGATTCTCTGAGCGACATCATCTGTTACAGCAGTGTGGAGGAACACAGGACTGTCAGTCCTTCCATAAATCTAGTTTCAGGAGTTGCACTCAGTGATACAATCTATGAAAGCCAGCAAACACAGCAGTGAGCCTTTCAAGACAAAGGATATGAAAGATTGAAGAGAGGCTGACCTTAACTCTCACCTCTCTGCCTAAAAGACAGAGCACTCCCCAAGCTGAACCTCTTCCTGCTAGTGTAAACAAAGCTTGTACCTCCTGCTTTCCAAACCAAGGCTATCATTATATGCAAACTATCCTACTTAACAAAGTGTCCTCTTGGTCTGTTCTGATGCCCCTGACACTTCCGTGATGGAATAAAATTTTCCTCAGTAAATGAACACAATAGTCCAACTTAATTTTTAGAGCACTTGTATGAAAGAGGAGTGGTCTTTCTGATCTCTGCTCCAATCAGTTCTTAACATTAGAAGTCCATAAAATGTAATTAGGCAGAATTAAGCCCTTAAATCTCAGTAAATTGTACTTTTCCACTGGAAACTTGACAATAATCAAATTCACTTACAAAAAATTAAAAATGTATTGAACATAACACCAGAGATTTTGACAACTCATGATACAGACTCCACTTGAACCAGCAACTTAGAATAATTTCCAACTCCCTGAACATTCAGTCTCACCTATGTATTTTGTAACTGAAAAAATTTAATGAACTAAACAATAACTACATGAATAAAATTACTAAATTTAGTGTGCGCGTGCAAATGCGCACAGACACAAAGGGGTCAAAATTGCAGGTAACTTTAAACATAACACAAAAAAAAGAAGAAAAAAGAAAGACTATCTCTCATTTTCAGTCAGACTATATTTAAAACAACATAAGTTTCTGAGAGAACACTGTTCTTGTTTAAGCTTGGGGAAGGGAACAATGAAATCAATGAAACATAATTAATGAGACATTTGTGCTATTCAGAGGATCATTCCTTTCCAAAGAGCACCACAAGCCCTCTGAAATGTAACACTTCCCTCAAACCTGTACTTACCAGTTTTTACACCGGATGTATACTGATGCTGCCTTGTCATAATATTGTCCCTTCTCATACAGCTGAGCAGCTTCTGAAAATTGCTACAATATTGGAAATAAAATTAAAATACAATTTCTAAATTAAGATTACAAATAAATAAATAGCTTAATGAATCCACATATTCAGCCTTAGCTTTATTAACTATTTTGAATACCTTCATGCTCTCCAGAATAGCTCCACAGTCTCTTTTTAGTAACCTACTGGGATGTTTAATGGCCTGGTTTACCCCTCGGCGGATATCTCCCATTCGGATGGACATTTGAGCCACTCCAGCAAGGCAAGCCTCATCATGTTCCTGGTACTGGCAATCAAATGAAAAGCAGTAACTATACATTATACATCAGAAATATCAGATCACAAAAGCCACAGTAACTAAGCACTGAAACAAATTAACAAAACATTACACAGACTTAATTAAATAACTTTTTTTGTCTCAAAATTCTTGCCTAGCTGCAGCTGTCACTTATAGAGAAGAACTTGGCTTAGTTTTCTTCTTAAGCTTTGTCTTTAACTTTTACATTTTAATTACAGGATCTACCCAGACCAAAAACCTGCGTACAGACAGATCAGAACTACTCTCCTCTTTCCTCCAAAATCAACAGTAGATAGAAAGAGAAACTACAAGCAGGATATTTTTCCCTTTTTTTTTTTTTTTTTAAAGGTGGTAAGGCCACTGATGTTTCATTAAGCTTGAATTCCAAAAACATTACTATTGCCCCGTTATGTTCCCCTACTATCATTTAAGCTGCTTCATAACAGACATTTTGCAAATATTAGTGGAAATAATGCCAGAATAAGGGAGGACCTACTGAATATGATGTTTATTTTCTAACAGAATCCTTGCTTGTCTTTATATAGATAACAATTTAGTAAAGAAGAACAGAAGGAATAATTAGGACTTTTGTTATAACAATGAAAATCCTAGCAATATTTTCTCTGATATTTGCATGTCTATTATGAAACTGCTCAAATTATAAAAACCCTAAGTCTAGTTATGCCACGTTAGTACAACAGCAGTACTGGTTTATACCTAGAGAAAGCATCATTCTGTATATTAAAAAGGAGACGTGCAAAGACTACTATTCCAAAAGCAACAGTCATATAGATTTAGAGCTCAATAAAAAAATATGAATTCAAGTGAGTCTAACATGACAACTTAATGTGTAGTAAGATAGTACAAATGCTAGCATTATTAAAAAGGAGTTACCTTATTGTTTCCAGTGACTCCCTTCTCATAATGTGCCAGAGCATTAATATAATCACCCCTAGAAGAAAATTGGAAGTTATATGGAAGAGTATTTTTAATAGGAAGAGATGGTTACCTTCCTACCACACAGATTATGCATGTATCTGTCTTGCTTTAGACATAACAACTCCATACCAGGATGTGAAGTATGCAAAAGATAGACAGTTACACAGTATGTCATGGCACTTCCCATGAACCTTATCAAGTATCAAAGAGGCAGTCTATCCCTCAATTCTGTTATACTGAGACCAATAAACCTCCCTTGAAAAACAGACAAATCTGCACAATACACCTCAATAATCCCATCTCTATTTCCACATTTTTCTGGAAGATAAATCAAACTAACCATCTAAACTTGTTTAGAATTTTTGCAACCTAAAAACAAAGGTAATTTTTTTTCCTTAAGTATATTCAGAACGCAAGTTACAGATAGTTGCATAGTGACCAACAAGTGTCCTCTCTCAGTGTCAGGGGCACTGCCAGGGGGAAGGACTTGTCTAAAAACTCTGTTAATAGGTAAGAGTTTTTCCTCTTAGTTTAGACATTAAACAGACCGGGTTTCATCTGGGAAGAATTAGTTATAAAATACTTTAAAATCATGGCAAATGGTTAATACCTTTTCTCTTTCAGGGACTGGCAGCCTTGAAATTTGACACTCCTCTACCTAAAATTTTTAAGAAAACGAAGGCCTTTGGATATTTAAGGGAAGAGAAGCAAAAGGCAAGGCTTTTGTCCAATGTAAGAAGTGATAAATGGTGTGAACCTTATTTTCCAAGCACTTGCCTGCAACAAAGTATACATTCAGTAGATTATATTATTGTATAGTGCACCTACCAGTTGCGAAGAACCCAGATATACTGAAACTAATGAAAAATAACTATTATTTGCTAACATATGTCTCTAGCATGAAGTATTCCTTACAAAACTACGCTTCCTTATACTATAGCTGCAAAACCTCACAGAATTCTCTCTCAGCAATGCAGTCAACTGAAGTATCTCAATTCTATGGTCTTCTAGTGAGCATGAGCATTGGTTTAATATTCTTATACTGCAACTTTACAGGAGAACTTACGTGAATTCAAGCTGCATTGCATATTCCTTTGATATGAAGGGGATTTGGTCTGGGGCCAAACGCTTAGCCAGCTGAAGTGCACTGTCCCAGTGCTGCAAGTCTTTTCGCATCTATTAACAAAGAACAGTAACATTTTCTGATGCAAGTATCAAATTCTGAATTTTAATATGAACTTTATATTATTCTAAATACAAATACAGAGCTATTATTCAGACAATTTGGGAGAGAGACATTCAACCTGAAAGAATGTCTGGCAGTCACACAATGGCAAGAACAAAACCGTAAAAGGGCAGAATTATCAGAAGGTAAAATATTCTGACGTTACGGTGGAAATGAAAACAGTAGAAAAAAAAATTATGTATCTTAAATGAATACCTCAAGTGCAGCAATAGGACAGGAGGATGCCAGATATAAATCCTGAGCCAGATTAAAATCACTAGTAAACATGGCAAGATGTCCTGCTAAAAGGTTGTGGTCTTCTATTCCCTATAAAAAGACGTAACAGGTGCAAAAGTAGTCCAAAAGAAAACAAACAGTTGTAAGTAACATAATCTAGCAAGCACAGTAAACCAAAATGTCCTTACAGTTTACAACCATGTGTATCGGATTCTACAAACCAGAAAAAACCCTCACTTTCTTACTGTAGCTCAAAGCCACTACAGCTAATGCTGTCTAAAATCAGCAACTTACAGAAGTATATTTTTAAGGTGCTATTTCATGCACACTTTTAGATGTATAATTGCAATCTGTTTGTCTGTTTTTTTAAAAAATAAAGTTAGTGGCTTTAAACATTTTCTCAAAAATAACAAAGGGAAAAAGAGCCTCCAAATGCCCAAGACACGAATATATTCTGCTACTCTCAAGCAAATGCAGAAAGGAATGTTGTGCATTCCTGTACAGACTGCAACCACACCAAGAGAAAACCAAGCAAGAGTTACGTGGTTTGAACACTTTCTCCTCTGTAACTATTAACTCCCTTGAAAATAACTCACCTTCTATTTAAAATAAACCCCAAAATCCTCTCAAAAATAAGAATTCAGCAATTCTTAAAGAATTAAATCACCATATTTCCTATTTAAAAGGGACTTTACATTTTACCTTTATTTGCTCTAGTGACATCACCATCCCAGCATTACCAGATGTCCGATAAACACGTATTGCAAAATCCACCTCCATATGATGCAAGCAAGCTTTGGCCAGCTCATTCCAACCAGACTGGTCATTCAGAAGTCTGCACACCTCCCATGCTTCAGAAAACCTTTAAGAAGGTAAAACACATTTAAAACTAGTATCACTCGTACCTAAAATTCCCTCTCAACACTTTTTTTTTTTTTTTCCTAATACTACAGTAGGGAAAACATCAAAAGCATTCACTTCTAAGCCATGGAGAGATGTGTCAGGAAGAAGGAAGAAATACAAATGCGTTTCTCCTGTTTCTACCACACTTTTTCAGGAAACCATCTGCTTTCCCTGCTCTGGCATTCTTTCCATTATATTGATTTTGCATTGCTTCATTACAGTGGGAAGAGAGTATGCAAGAAGCATCTTCAGCCAGTTTTGGAAAAGCCGCTGTCATAGAACCCGGATCAGTCTTGAAAAAAAATGACTTCAGCTTTTACGTGACAGTGGAAAAACAAACAAAGCACCACTGGGTCACTTACTTTGCTTGGTCTGCATAGACAACTACATGGACTCATGGATGAATCTAATCTATCAATATTCAGCATGACATTTTTAAATCACCAGGATATGCTGTATTGAGCTATAAGCACAGAAGAAAACAGTTTACACAATATAATTAAAAGGCAGATGTACCTTTTCAACATTAAAGTCTGAGTAAGCATTTGTGTCAGCTCATTAGGTCCAAAGTCTTTCCAATTGCCAAGGAAACTGTGAGTGCTTAGATAGATATTGTTTGTTTTCCCACTCAGAGTCTGACAGGTTAATTCTCCATTATACAGCAACAAAGGTTTATGTGAAAAAGGGACTTCCGTGCCACCTGCCAAAATAATCTTTGATCCTAGATTCAAAGATCAGGAAGAAAAGAAGATATCATTTTAAAAATCCCAACATAGTAAAAAGTATAGCAAACAGTCATAGCTGAAATAATGCAGATTTGCAGGGCATTAATTCAAGGTCTTAATTCAGGTAGTTACCATCTACTGTACAGCACATATTTTTCAGTAAAGTAAATATATGTAACTTAAATCTTCTAAACTAGAAAGGTCATCCTCCAAATGTTTGTAGGTAAATTTCTTAATGTTCCTCTGTCACAATTACAGAAATTGCTACAATTACAATCTTGGTTAACAGTGAATACAAGTTTTGTCACCCTGATCCTAAGATTTTTTTTCATGAACATTTCAAAATACAATTGAAGCACAATGTGTACGTTTCAGATGAAAGGTTGTCGCAGCAAGAAGCTCAGGGAGTTAAGACCAAAATGCCTTGTTGGAGCTTTACAGAGAAACCTACACAACAACTAGTTTTCTATTCATCAGTTGCACTTCAAAACTTCTGCAGTACTATTTATTTTTATATGCAGTTATGAACATATTTAAGACAAAGGAAGACTCAGAACATGTTTTACATTATTAACTAAAACAGCCAATAAGGTTTTAAAAGCATTTAGAGTACCTTGAATGGCATCCTTATGAAATACATAAGTGTACACTTTATCATCATCAAAAGCAACAAAAACACCTTTATCCATTGGCCAGTTTTCCCACAGGATTCCTTTAATAGCTGGTGAGAAGTTTGGAATCTCATATAAGCTATCATTTACCTACAAATAACGCAAAAGTAAAATTACTAGCAAGTGACTAAGCAGAAAAACTAAATATTCATCCTGGTTATGATTAAAAATTTAAAAAAGGAATATAAATAGTGCAGAAATATGAAAATTGTATTAAGAAAAAGTTTCCTTATAAGCAGTGACTCCAACATAATACCTTAATTCATAAGGGAAGTAAATGGAGAAAATGCACATTATATGAATGCCATTTACTTTTCTTAGAAAAAAGGTACGGAGACAGGCAGTGAAACTGGTAGTGCTTGTTAAGGGGCTAAACCATCTGTATTTGAATACATAAACACATACATTTCTGAAAATTACTGATCAGAAATTTAGTATCATGAGATTGTCCTAATCTAATATGACAGATTTTATTTCCTTACATTACCATTAAGTTATCTTCAAGCCTCCTTGGCAATATCTTCTACCAACATACATGCTGGAGTGACAAAGCTTCTTCCTTTTCTATTATAAACACTATATAGTTGAAGAGCTTGCTTGTAAATATAATTGTACAAGTATCCCACACTAACTTACTGGACAATAGACAAAGCCATCACTTTTGTCATCTATGAAAGCCAATCTGGTTCCATTGGGATCTGGAAAAATTTTTCTCACACTGACAGGATGCCGATACTCATTCACATATTGCCAGTCTTCAATGTAGAAATAATGAATAACTCCAGTCTAATGAGAAATAACAAAAAAATTACATCAGCAAGCAGCACGTAGATAACTGGTTGTAGTTTCTCCCATCTTAAGAGTGCTGAGCATGAAGACTGTTTAAAGAAAAATACTTCCAGGTGTGTTTGGGGGTTTTTTGGCTTCCTTCATTCACAGCTGGTTTTGGGCAGGATAGGAAAACTTGAAGCTTTTTGGGGTGTGGGGAAAGGAGATGGAGGTTTGAGGGATTTTCTGTTGGTTTTGTTGTTTCACTCTGCATTGTGGAGACAAGCTGTACTTACTGCGCAGTTCTCTAAACAGGGAAAATGCCTGCCTCGCTGCTGACAGAAGCTTAACCTTCAAACAAAGCTGAAAAATTTGCATCCAAGAAAGAACCACACATTCTTAAGAACAGATGTACCTAACTCAGGGGAGAAAAGCAATCAAACTGATTCGTGATTAATGCTGTATTTCAATCAGTGTTGCACTAAGAAGAACACTGAAAGTAAAAGGCAGCTTTTGAAGTCAATTGTAAAATTTGCACACATCAAATTAATCAGTTGCAAATTTAGTACTTCAAATTAGCAGTACCAGTTTAGGTACTGAGGAGGTGGGAAAGCCCTCAACTGCTGCAAAACCACTCAAGTTATTAAACCAATGATAACACCAGAGATAGTGATTCTGCCTGTCCCCTGGTAGGTCAATACAGCAGTCTGTATCATATAGAGCACACTGCCAGAAAATACTAAAAGGAAAGAAACTACCCCTCATGCATAGGAAAATCTCTGGAAAAATCCATAAGGATGTTCACGTCCTTCTTCAGTGTCCGCCTAATTCCTATCTTTGTTGAAACACCTAAAAAAAAATTCTCTTCGGGTAAAGGCTTCAATAGTTAAGTCAAGACTTCCATTTATGTTATCATACTTGTTTACCTCAGCACTTTTTTGTCCACACCTATCACATCACCACCTAAATCAACAAATTTGCAAGGCAAGTGCTACAGTTTTTCTTATATCTGGAAGACAGTTTGATTGCTAACCCTCTCACTAATGCAACAGAATTACATTCTGTTATTAAAATCAGTGTTTTGCAATAAACAGTAGTAAAAGCAAAACTTAACTTTCCTGACAATGCATCTCACGTAAATGCAACAGTGAAGGAAGCTGGACACAATTTTGACTGTATTTGCATAAAGTTCTTGCATAGAAAATAATCCACTGTAAACTTCTCAGAAGCATAATTTTTGCTAAAAGTATGAGTAAAAATCCAAATAAGTCAGATAGAAATACATTCCATCTAGAAGATTTTTAAAAACAGAAGTAATACTCACGTCTGTACCATATATGAGGAAGTCACTAGTTAAAGCATGGCACAAAATTCGGTATTTATCATCATCTGCTGGGAATAGTCGAGTTTCTCTTTCTTCCTGAGCATCCAAACCTTCACTTTCTATCTAAATATAAAGAACAGAATGAACTGAAAAACTCCACTGTTGACAATGAGGTATCATAGTTTTGCCTGTATCAAACAGTAGGGAAATGAGACGAAAACACACTTGCACGTGCATCCTTTAAAAACCCGGCATCTGCTTATGTCACACTCCCACAGAGACTTTTAAAATAAAACTTTTCAAATAGTTCACAAGAAAGCACTTTTTCTTCACCTGTTCTAGACTAGGTTGTATTTCTAAAATCTACAGGAACTCAGCTTTACATTTTAAATAGCCAGAAAAAAAAAATTATCTCCGTTAACTGAAGGTCACACCATTTTCTCTCATTTTTAAAATTACATTAACTTGTTCAGCTTAGATCAACTCATTAGTTCAACACTCCAAATTGCCAGAGCTCTTACCATATGCAACTGGACTTTACCCTCAAAGAGAGCAGCAGCATAATCAGAATTAAGGTGCATACTTGCTACTGTTCCCAGGTACTCCACATCTTTAAGCTTTTTTACATCTAAAGAATTCAAACAGAAGAGAAAAGGTACAAATATTTTGATTTTATATAGGTCTTCGCTTATCATCATCTAAATTTGCAACTGAGTAGCCAGATGTGAAAAACTCACAACTAAGCAGAGAGGGGACAAGTCACATGTAAAGAGACTTTCTTCTTAGCAGTCAGAGAACTGGTTAGAAAGTACAAGAGAAACTCTTTTCCTATGCAACTCCAAGTAGTAGTCTTACAGTTTTGATTAATTTATTATTAGTAAAAAAAGTGATGCTGAGAGAGACATGAAAGCTTTAAATCCACTGGCCAAGATCTGGACATAGCATAAACAATTTTACCTTACCCCAGGCAAACAACATGAATATCTACCAAACTGAGAATTTAAACCCTCTGATCATACAGTCCCTACGTACTTTGCCAAACTTAGTGTTTAAAGACACAGTCAAATAATGTCTCAAAAGCCTAAAAGTCCTTCATTAGTTAACAACGTGATCTGAAAAAAAATTAAAAAAGAAACATTCTACATTTCATTACCAATACCATGAACCTGAAGTTTTACTCCTATTATTTACAATGCCTTGTCATAACTGCTTCAGTTTGTGAAGATCGTTATCCAGTCCTATCAGGACCATATGGCAAGTCACGTTGTTATTGTACAATGTGGAATGTCCAGAACTGCTAAACACAATACCGAATTCATAAAACAGGACACAATAAAGCAGTAGTTTATTTTAAGAGAACTAAATTTATGCTTACTATTCTCTCCAAGTGCATAAAACCAAGCCCGATTGTTCATTCCTACAGCCAAATGATAAACACCAATAGCAACAAAACTGGGCTCTACTTCAACAGAGACTGTGACTGGTACCTCCTGTAAGAAAACGAAACAAAATAAAACAATTTTCATCCACTATTAATACTTACTTCGCTTATTTATCTAAATGAAGTTTAAAAGGAAGAGGTTATCATACTCTCTCCACGTGATTTGCTACAGTAACTTCAAGAAGAGAAGTGAGGTACGCAATCCGTGTACTGCAAGCATCTCCAAGGATTGGAAGCTTTGTCAAGAAAACATGGAGGGAACCTCTTCGTGTTGATACTGCCAGCAACTGTCCATCATCTGTCCAAGCCAGCTGATCTACACCTAAAATATTCACAAGTTTGGTTTTTTTTTGGGGGGGGGAAGAAATCCTTTAAGTACTGAAATCAACAAACAATTATTTTGCTTTAAAATGTGAAAATGGTAGAAATTCCTAACTAGGAATATACGTACTAATGTACTCAAACATAACCAATTAATATAATTCCAAGATTAACTGGAATCACTTAAACCAAACTTGTATTTTACTAATTTAGCATTTTCCTAAGAGTGAAGACTTGACAATAACTGAAGTATTTACAAACGCTACAAAAGGAGATAATGGTGGTAACTCATTACCCAAGAACATAGACTTGTAACAATGTTCTGGAAGCCACAGGCACAAATCCTGTATATCAGGATGAGAACAGATTAGATACCATATGTCAACACAAGCGATGCTGAAAAGCACAAAAAATCCACCAAAAAAAACATGGAAAGAAGCAGAAACCAGTTAAGTAGAGTATTTCAGTAATCTGGATATATTGTATTACAGATTCAAAAAACCAAAACACTAACTGATCAAATATTCTGAGAGCTGTATTTCTCTATACTCTATAAAAAATAAAATAGGTTCCCATTTTGCTATGGGTCACCTAATGAATACAAGTTGGGAAAGCAGGAATTTATAAATTCTATATTTACACAGTTTTTTCAACAACAGTACTTTCACTCATGTAAACAGAGTCACCATCAAAATTCTGGTTTACTTAATTTTCTGTTTTCATTGAGACTATTAACATACCTTTGTTTTCATCATCCAAGTTTATTATGGCATACATTTCTCTCAGGTCAGACAGATCATGGATTTTAATGCTAAAACAAAAATAAACAGTCATTCTCACTAATATAAATCTCAGTCAAACTGGAAGAAACCCAACCCAATCAAGACAGCCTAACGGAGCAAATAATAGAACGCAAATGCAAAATGCCTTCCGTTTCCTAAAGAGCACTCATTGTTATCCATCACTCTAAGTAGTATTTCCCTATCACGGTACAAAAAGATTTGCTGAGAGAACTAAAATTTGAGGAAAAGGCACAAATCCAATTTGAAAGAACTCAGGGGTGGGAAACACATATTATTATTCCCATTTGACCTGTTACAATACAGGTTAGGTTAAAACCACATTCCTGATAGACAAACACTGCTTGAAACACAGATGCAAAAAACTAGCTGTCAATCCTGCTTCACATAAAAAGGAACAGAGTGAGAGTTTACTTATGCTGTCAAGTTTCTCAACATATGCTAAAGAACCCCTTAAAGAAATAATACTCATTGTACAATAGCTTGAGGTTGCACCATCTTTTGCTCACAGTTGTACCACTCTTTACATGCAAGTGTTATAAATCACCAGTCGGTTAAGGTCATACACAGAACTGAGGACAGACAACGGTTTGACTCCTACCATCACTCAGCTTGATTTTCGCTGAAGAATTCAGATATCACAGAATCAGGCAGTAGCATAGAAGGAGCTAAAGGAGATATTCTATCATATACACAACATATTTTGGAAAAACTCCAATCTATTTTTTTTTCCTTAGTTGCTTACACATTTATACTTTTGTCTAGATTGCAGGTAAGACCAAACACGAGGGAGGAAGACACCAGCATATCAGCATGCTCAGTACAGCTTTAAATGATTTATTCTCCTATTGCTAAGCAGTTGTTTATGTCCAATGAATAAATCATAAAGAAATTTGTACATTTTTGTAGCCAAGTAACATAGCAGAAAAAGAAAGAATCAAAAGGAATGATCTCTACTAAAGTTGAAGTAATTTTTTTTTGTTTACAATTCATTACAATAAAGTTAATTCCAATTGCAGATATTTTAGCTTCTAACTTTAGGCAGAGAGGCAGTTCCACAGAGCATTTCATCTCGCCTTCTCTGCACTGACTTGTTATGGAGCCCTGAAGCCTTAAGGGAGCCTAGCTTTAATGCCTAACTGTTACAGTTATGTGAGAGGCATTCTATTCTTTATAAAACTACCACTTACCAATTGTCTCCACATGATGCAGCTTTGTTTAATGACTGTGATATGGCAATGCTGCTTAGATTATCCTTATGATTATGAGCTTGAAAGATTTCTTGACCTATCTCACGAATGTGTGTAGAAATGACTACAAAACACCCTCGTGAGAAACCAATCATAATGTAGCCATCACCGTACCTGTTACAAAAGAAACAACAATTAAGAGGCCTATTTATGCAATATGCAAAATGCATTTTCTTTCAGATTGCTGGGGTAACTGTGCCTCTCTTTAACAGGAAAAATAATCAAATTGTAGGAATTTATAAGTAGAACAATATAATAATAAATAGATTAAGGGAAAAACAACCAAAGATTCTTAAAGGGCAAAAACCATGTTTGTGCCAGAGTTCACTCATAAGCTGTCTTTTTTTCTCTCTTCTACATTCCATAACGCCGCTTTACTTTCAGCAAGCTGCATATATGGCAGTGATGCCAGAAGACAGACCTCTGGTATCTTCACTGGAATAAGCATGCCAGAAGATGGAAACTTCCATTTCAAAGTTCTGGCTGACTTGATCCCACCAAAGCTATGCTAAAAGGCCTTGAGGCCTACTACTGCAAACACAGCGGAAGTACCAAAGCTACAATCTGTATTTGTGAATAGTCTGTTTACTTTTCATAGTGTCAAATAGAAATAATGAGGTTAAGGCAGAAATAGTTACAGCGTGTAAGAATGAATTCAAACAATCAACTTAGTTGCAGAAAAATCATTGCAAGGGAAACAGTCCAGGTATGCCCTGCTAGAGCTGTGGCTATAAATTAAGAAGCATATAGCTACGGGTTTTCTTACACAGTTGTAGTGCAAAGGAAGAAATGACAATTCCACGTTGACTGAACAGGCATTAAAAGACACGGTGTCATGATTCAAAGATACAGAAACAGTACAGCTACTTTTAGGGCACAGAGTTGAAACTTCTAGCTTGGGATTTCTTCAAAGGAACATTACCAATCTGAATACAGGCAGGGAGGCTACAAAAACTTTGCACAACTTTGTAAACCAACAAATTAGCTGAAGGATACAACTCCCCCTAGCTCCTTCATCATTAACTCATCCAAACACAAAACAACCTACTAAACCCTCAGTTTAATCTACTGTCAGGACAGCAACAGTATTAATGTTCTAAAGCTGAGCATACCTACAGTGATTATATTTGAAAATACTGCTTTTATAACGATTGAATTGTCAAGTAAAACAATTACAAAATGTAGATTTCTTTGTGTATGGAAAAGAATTATTTAAAAGGCTACAATACATTCAAGAAAAATACAGTTTAGGCAAGGGATATAAGATTTCATTTCCAGCATTCATCAGAACTACTGGGAAAATCTTAAGCTTGTTAATAATAGAATGCTTCATTAAGAAAGTTCTGCTCACCATCTGTAGGTTACAATACTGCCATAAGGCTGCTGAAATTTCAGATCAATCGGGTTATCAGGATCATTCAAATTAAAAAGAAAGAGAGTCTTCTTGCCAACCACTACACTTACCTGCCAATGAACGAAAAGAAAAATTAATTTGATAAGAATGGCAGCACTTTAAAATAAGGCCCTACATCTTCACTAAAAGATGAGATTTATGACTTTAAATAATCCTTAAGAAACCCATGGATCTGAATTCTGAATCTTTATCAATAGTGGAAGAGATTTTCAGGATATTCCCCTTGTGAGCCAGTGGTTCACAGATCTAAACGTAAGCCCAGCAGAACACACATCTCAAAGATTTTTCCCTACGGCAACATTAAGTCAGCTCCATTTCCTCAGAGGAAAGGCAGCAGGTTACATGGAGTTATCCTGTTGGACTACTCTCACCTGAACTACAATGGGGGTTCTGATCCACAGAATTTTTATCTGGGAGGTAGAAGGGAAGACTATCACAACACTGCTATCTCAAGTAACTTGCTGAGATTTCAAAGACAGAAAGACAATTCCCAAATGAAACACCCTGTTCAGTGTATATTAAACATGCGATATTTACAGTTTGATATCAGACTAGGTGAGTGCATTTTATTTGATGAATCTCATACAGCTGGTGGACTTCATAGTGGAAGACAGGTTGAACTTTGGAGGTTTTTTCAAAGATTATTTTTATTACTAGAGTGTGTGTTATTGTCAGGCAACAGTAAATTACTCGTTTTAGAAAAAGCAAGGACAAGCAGCTTAGCACAATGTTAACTCTAGTAACTACTTATTTTGATCCAACTCACAGTTGTCTGGGGTTTTTTTCTGATGTCGTAACAGCCTGGAAGTGATCAATATCAAGCCAAGCCCCCCTCCCAACAAACACCTAGACAATAAATGCTAGGTAGTTTAGAGCTGCTGACAGACCATCCAAGCACAAATACCAAGAACTACAGAATTACAGAATGTTCCCTAACATTCTACAGCAAACTTGAGAGTTCTAATAAAAAGTCTGCAAAGCCTAGGCTATCGCATGGCCCAGGAAGCAGCAGGAGAAATCAAGGCTGAAGTCCTTGGTTCCTGCATTTTCAAAATATCTGTTAATTGAATTTCTCCAGGAAGCAGAAAACGTATCACTCCATGTAGAGAGGCAAAAAACTCCTACAGGTCCTTGTCAATGTAAACATGGGGAAAAATTCTTTCTTGACACCTATACTCTATAGATTAAATCCGATTATGAGAATTTAATTACATTGTATAAGTGTATAGATCTGGAAAAATTCCAACACAGTACCACCTTTCTACCCATGGATTTTCTATGTCTTGTCTTGGTATTTCATTGCTGATCCTTTAATAATCTGCTCTGCTAATAGTTATCATTACCCCATTTTTCTGTACTTCACCATTGACCTATCTGATGGACTTTGATTCATTCCAGAAGACAATGAAGACAATGAAACTGTAGCCATTTAGACAGAGACAGGATAATACTCACACCAGACTGACTCACACCGGGGCTTTTATTCTCATTGATGCTGGGGTTTGCATAAGATGAAAACCTAGAGAACAGTGATCCGTTCCCAAAACTCAACAGCTGAAAATCTGCCCTCTGAAAGGCACCATCTCTGCAATTTTGACAATCCTGCTGCATTTCCACCTGCCACATTGCATATACTGTTCTATATTTATATTGTATGTATTTCTTTAAGTCCCTGAACACATCTCCATCTGTTAACTACCACTGCAAAACTGATCTGTTACCTGTCATATTGCTAACCACTGCGCTTTTCATGAACACATCCTTAATGAACAAAGGGGTATACTTTAAAGGAAAGTTTTGGAAAAGGAAAAAAAAAAATCTTCAACACCAAATTTTAAATCAAGGAGGAACAAATTGCTTCCTGGCCCACACTGGTTGCCAGCAGAAACCCTGAAACATCAGATTAACACTTTTTTTGCAGTATTTTCTTACTGTGCTTTCCCTGGTTGATATTCTTTCATCAGTCTTCATAACTGAGAACTGCATATCACTGGGATCTGAGCTCACTGAGGTCTGCAAGAAAGAAGTTCAGATTGAGAAATAAACAGTTAATGTAGCAAATACTGATGATAAGTAATTGCACTACTCCTGCCCTGTACATTTTAGTATTAAGAATAGAGTTGTTATTGCATGTAGTACCAAAACTAAGAAAAAAGTTGGAGGAAACATGACCTCAGTTTGTCATCATAATGACATGTTATCATGGAATATACTGAAAAAATATCTATGAAACAGACAGAAATACAAATCCAAATAGAGAAGAAATGATCCAGATGAGGAAGAAGACTTGCAAGATGATATTATACAGACAGTACTATCTAAAGCAGCACAAATGAGGTCACTTCAATGCAAATTCAAAGAAGGAAGACCAAGAATAAAGCATACAGGTTAAATATTTACAATGCATTCTAATATGGACATGCCTGATCTGGTTTAGGTAGTGACAGCAATCTAGTTGCTTTTGTAGTCAATATGAGGTTACAAAACCTCATAGGCAAGCCTTGCTTAGGTCTCCGCTGTCTCAGCTACACTGCTTCTACTACGTAAGCCAGCTAGTTTAAAGCACAGACATACCCCAATAAATTTATTAGGCTATTCTTCTCCAATTGTGATCTTCAGACATAAAGATGGAAGCGTATGAAATGAACTATTAAAGATTTGTTCTTTGAAAATCTTGAGTGAAACACCGTTCATTAAAGTTAAAAAAGTGCACATGATGCAGCAATTGTCATTGCTCGGAAGGACTGTGATGTATGTAAACAGAACATTTGATTAGAGAATCTGAGTGTGCTTGGAGGAAGCACTGGAATCAGTCTCTCAACAATGCAATGGTGGTCCAGCCTCGGAGTAATCCTTGCAAATCAGAGGCAAGATCTTTGTTTACACTAAAAGCACTTCCTAAAGACCTTATAAACAGTCACATGAGAGCTGTCCTGTGCTCCTACTGGGGAAGTCAACCTAAGATGGCACTCATAGGATTCTCTTGCAACAAAGATACAGACCAGGATCAAGGATGAGAGGCATGTTTAGGCAGGACCACAGCAGAATTGCAGAGACACTAATATCATAAATCACGAAACACTGAAGCTCAGATGTTTAGGTATGCCTAATCCTACATGAGGTTTCCCAAAGGCTCCTTGTCCTTTAAAGCAGCGGGATTGAAAAGGCATAAACTCCCATAGGTCCCAGCTTTCTTGGGAACCAGGAGTATTTATGTCTGCCTTAAAATCAAATGGGGGTTATAAATACTACCTGTCTTATAGTATCCCCTTCCTGATTGCTTATAGTAATCATTTTGTCTTCACCGCCTAGAGCCAGAAGGTTTTCAGTACTCCAACAACCACAAGTAATCCGCCTAGTGTGCTTACCTGAAAAAGAAAGAAACCTATACAACACAAATGAACACAACCACAAAAAAAATCCGAGATGGAAATATGCTCTATTTAGCCACTCAAATACAGATTCTCAGAATGTGAAAAAACTTATCAGAGCAATTACAAATTCAAGGGTAATTTTTTTTTTTTTTTATTTAAATCACCTACTCCCAGATGGAAGTCTTTTGACCTTATAGGAACTTGCACAGTCCCTGTTCTTCCATTTCTTTGCATCAAATTTCTGGGGACTGTGCTATATCCTTAACCTTTCTGCCCAGAGGTACTCTAAGCAGGTAAGGCAAAGTAACTTAGCAACAAGAACAACCACAAGAAAGATAACACAAGTTTCCCATGAGGCAGTATCAGGTATGTGTATATATATTTTTAACTTACTGTACTATAAAAACACTCTGGTAAGTACAACAAAACAGAAGGTGCAAGTTGAGTATGAGCACATTTTTAACTTGCATGTTCATATATAGAACTAAAAAGGAATCTAAGTATATTAGCAAAATTACACTTTCTCACGTGCAAGCTTAGTTTCAAACCAAATTTCATACCAAGAACAGGAATCTTGCGAGAAGTCTGACGGTTATATATGAGTAAGTTTCCCTTTGTTGTTCCAACAGCAAGTAAAGTTCCAACTCGAGACCATAATACGAAAGACATTGCATCCCTAAAATAAAGAAAAATTTTACTTTGCATAGCAGAGATTCCTTTCATGTACTTACATATAAAAACATTTGGCATACTGGTTTTGAAGTTCTATTAAATCACACAGACCAAGCAGAATTTTTAAATTAAGCAAATGTTTTCCACAACAAGTATAGAATTATTTAAGTGTGCACGAAATAGTGAAAGTAATAAAAAGTTGTATGAAGTAATGTAATAAGACTTGTACAATGGAAATGTGTCTGCAAACATCAACAGTCTTTGATGGAATCATGGGTAATTTGGCCAAACACGCAGGTTTAAAAAACACTCAAAGATATGATGAAGGTATGTGAAATTTTCCAGTCACTTTGTGCATTGTTTTTTTGTACTTCAATAATTTTTTTTGTACTTCAATAATTCTGTGAATTCAGCCAACTCCAGATGAACAGGTCTAGTTCTAGTCAATGTAATAAGAAAGAGCCATTTTACCCTGAAGTTTCAGATACAGCAAGGCTTATTTTGGTGTATATTTAAGGGTACACAGATAAATACTACACATCACATTTTTTAAAAAAAGCTTCTTAAGCAAAACAATTTTAATCAGAATTTTCTAATTAGTGCAGTTATTTCCATCAATGCCTCTCCTGTCTCTTTAGATTTTACTGTACACATACAATAGAAATTTCAAACAAATTTCAGATATTGACACATGAAATGCCCTCCAATATATAACTTGATTTGCATGTGAGGGGTTTTGTTTGTGGTTTTTTAATTTCAAAAAGAAGAAGATATCAGAAAAACCTGGTTACCACACTGTTTATATGTCTTAGTGCTTATTCTGCTTAAGCAATAACACTGTGACAAAATTAGGATTAGGTGCTTAAACTCACATATACTGTTCTAGTGAGAGTGCCTCCAGTAAGCAATTTACCTCTGATATTCGAGAGAAGGATCATGAAGGAACTGCAATAACCACATACTCCATTCTGCTAAGTACCTTCTATGTTCTTTTTTGCTTGCATACTGCCAAGTTACTCTTCCCCCAAAATATTTGTTCACACATGAAAAATAGGTGCAATGTACGTGTATATACATATTCTTAAATTGTTTTGATTATATAAGTAGCTATAGGTTAAAATCGACCTATCTGAAAAACCCCAAACCCCTACTTGGGAAACCTTACAAAAAAAAAAAAATTCTGAATGCCAAAGTTGACATATTATACCAGAAAATATTATAAACAATAATCATTATAACATCTGTGCTAAAAAGGCATATTGTTTACAATACGTAATAACTATATATGTAAAAATGTAATGACTAAGAAATAACTGAGTAATCTGCAAATACCTACACAAGATGCCTATATAATGCTACATATAATTAATTAGACAGTAGGAAGAAGTAATCACTTTAAATTTCTCATTTGTATGTACCACCAGTTGCTTGTTTTGAAACTGTTTTCTAATGTGACTTAACATTCTACTGACAATCTTCAAAACATAACTTCATTAAATCACGTATAGGTTACGTCACTGGGTATTTTGTGCAAAGTGGCAATTCTTTTACTTTTTCAGGAGTGGAATAACTTGTATAGAAGTTATTTTTTGTTTCAGCACAGTTTAAGTTCAGTTTCAATGTACCCATATAGGATACCAGGCTCTAACATATGGAAATATCCCATAATCAAATAGCCAATACTCCAAATGAATTTTACAAAGCACAAGTGTACATGTTAATAGAAATATGGAATATTTCCATATTCCAGCCATGGAGTTTTCAACCTGAATCTGGAAAAAAATCACCCTCATAGAAACCAACATAACCCCCAACCCCTATTTTTTCAGCTGAACTGAACTTTTTTAATTTAATGGATAAACTTAAAAAAAACCCCAACCCAAACCAACAACAACCTCCCCCCAAAAACCCATACACAAAGGAAATTTAGAAATGAAGGGTTAAATCAGAAGGAGTGTTTGTCTCAAGTAAATAAAATAGCAGCAGTATCCAAAATCAGCTGTTTCTCTGCTCAGGTGAGTGCCCTAACAAACATGGGACATTGGTTTCCACTCTCTTTCCTGCAGATAGAATGTTTACGTAGAGTGAAATAGTTTAGTGGATAGATTCAAAGAATCTAAAAGTTTAATTGTCAAACCAAACTTATTTGTTAACCTAATGCTTGATTGTTATGCAGGCCTCAGGAAAGTTTTAAGTCTGCATCCAAATTCAGAAAAGTAGGGATCTGAACCTTAAAGTAAGATCGCCTTAGGTATCTCCTCCCATTCTAAACCAGTCTGCTTTGTGAATAGCATTTTAGTCCCCTTATAAAGCCAAGGGAAAAAAAATCCTAGCATCACTAAAATAATTTCCCTTACTTTTAAGCTCCCTTTTACTTGTGTGAAATACTTGGAGAAAGTGCAGCTGGTGCAGACATACAAAAAATTCACCCATCCTTGTTGCTACCACAAAGTGGAAACATTGAAGTGAAGCTCTCTGGGGACTGTGGCACTGTTGACAATTAAAAAAAGAAACAAACCCCCTATCAACTCCAAAACCCCCACCCACAACACACACTTCAAACCCAGCAAATCACACCAAAACTTAGCAACAAACTGTAGCATATTAGTTTAGCAGGATATATGCTATGAGGACTCCGATAAAAAGATGATCTTTGCAAAATATCCTCCACATCAACAAGCCACAGTGGACCAAGTCTTCAAAGACACACTTTAAAAAAAACTTTCTTACCTCATGCCACTGTCTACTTGGCTTGTTTTGTTTGTGTTCGCATCCCACAGAAATATGGCACTAGATTTGTCTGTGATTATTGCTAAAGTATCTCCATCTTTATCCCAGTCCATAGCAACACAGTTACTGAAGAAAAAACAAACAAACAACAAACCACCTTTCACTAATAATGTTAAAATATGTTTGTAAGTGTACAGAAACAGCTAGAATTATTCAGTTGAAGTCCCTGCCCTTCCTTTTCCCTCCCAAACAAACCCATGACAGATCGCAGTTTTATCTGTAAAGTGCACTTTTATAGCAACCACACTCTTACTCAAATCTCATTGAAATGACAGAAGCTGAAAGGAAGGTCATAAAAAAAGAGACTGCTACCTACACTCTAGTACCTTGACATACTGCCACCTTGATTTTCAGTGAAAATCCCTTGTAATGTTCTATTTTGTTAGAGGCTATTCAGTGTTGGGATGATTTTTCTCATAGTTCAACAAGCATAATGAATTTGGACAAGAAACCTATGCAGAAGCAGCAAAAACCTCCACTTGCAAATAGTTCCCAAGGGGACAGCAGACTTACTCACAAGTCTCTAGTGAATTGGAAAGTGTTGTTTACAACACATATTTAAAGCACCATATACTGCAGACTAAGAATCTATGCCATCTAACACCACTCTTTTCCTTCTAGATAAAGTAGTTGATAGTTTCAGGTTAAAAAGGTACCCCTATGAAAAATTTCACTCTCATTACCACTCAAATGAAAACTCCTAATGCAAGCAATTTCAGAAGTGTCCTACTGAAACATACATTGCTGTAAGCTAATTCAGTAAGCCTTCAGTTCTGGTTTCTCCAGCTTCCTTTTTAAAACCTTAGCAGCTTATTCTAGAGAATAAGTATTCCCAAAACACATCCATGAATACTTAACAGCCAATCAGAACAACAAGAGCAGGAATAATAAGGACAAAAAGAAAAAATAGGGAAAAATGTAGATTAATAAGTAAACAAAACAAATTCTATCAACATAATGGTAAGAAGATGCTTATAACATTAACTATTATAGCAGAGAACGTTTGAAACTCCGTTCTCATGCAAGGAGAGCTCTAGCAGTTAACAATTGCCATTGGTTAACAGTTAACCAACAAATAAAAAAGCAAAGTTTGGCCCAAGGGGGAGAACCTCCATATAAGCACACTTGTTTCTGTTTAAACTGTGTATCACAAAAAAAAAAATAAAAATATTCTAATAGCAATAATTAGAGAGAATTTATTCTTCAATCACAGCAAAAGGTTGGAAATCAGAATTCAAGAGAACTAGCTAACCTAGGTAGAAGATTTGCTGGCGGGCCTCAGAAAGTCAGTACTATTCAAACTATGATAAGCAGACGTTAATTATTTTGACAAGCCTTTAGGATACGTGGTTATTATAAAAGTCTTTTCTGCTCTTTGCTTTGCCATGAGAACACAATATTATTTTAAAGCTGGTTTAGATGTTATTTATTTCCCTGAAGGAAAGGGTCACATCTGTAGTGATAGCACAAGGTAGTGCTGTCAGTGTCCACCAGTAAGGTAGACGCCCCTTCACACCACCCTCACCAACCCACGACAGTAGACGATCCCCAGTCCGACACAAGCTCTTCTCAGAGTTCACCACCGATTCCATACAGCTTTCCTCACTTTTGGCAGTTTGCTGGAGAGAACGAGCATTTATCATACATTGTGCCAAATACAGTGCAGACTCAGGTAGGCCACCAAGCAGAAGATGCTGACATAGCCAGCCCACGTCATGAGCAGCACCTAACCAGAACGGGATTTTGAAACAAGACAGCAAGATGTGATTGGTGGTCAGTAGGATACAAGTGAGTCTGGTAAAGAAAACTGGAATTTCATCTCTTGGTTTGGTGCAAGGTGGCAACTACCATGAACTGCAAAAAATGGATTTCTAGAGAGTTCTTGGGGAGCTAAGTGATTCTGGCTCATAGCTACCAATGATACAGGGATACGTAAGGACATTTCAGAAATGAAAGTTCAACTTCTAGATTAGAGGCTTCAGATTTAAAGTCTTAGTGGGAACTGTGCCTTGACTAAGGGCTCCGCCTAAATCAAAATGAATCAGGTTGTTAGAAATAAAATTAAAAAATCCAGAATTTGCATGAATACTTAAGCTAAGAACAGATAAAATTAAAAAAAAAAAAAAAAAAAAGAAGTACACAAATGAAACTATTGCTGTATTGGGTAGTAATGGTGTCCAATAAAATTAGATATATAGAGCAAAATGGTATGACAACCTGATGTCACAGTGTTTGCACCTAGGGAGGTTTCCTCTGGGCCATATCTAGCCTGTTCCTATGGACTGATTGCTTTTTAGCTGTTACACTGCATCTTCCAAATTACACCACTTTTTAAATTTCACCTGAAAGGAATCCAGTTCGTACACCCCAACACTACTCTCTGATGTGAGCCAAGTGTGATAAGCAGGAAAAACAGTGAGATTCACTTCAGAAGTCCATTCTTGACCTAAAGTAAAAATGCCACTATATACATTATGCCAGTGACATAAGCAAAAGCACTAAACCAGAAGGATACCTTTCCTCTGTAAGGCTATGACAACAAAGAATGTGAAAACTGATAGCAGCAAGAACGCAGTCACAATCAGCATGACATGCATATACTGCATACAACCTCATTATGTTCTTTCTTAATATGATAGATCTTTTTCTAACATCTTTGATTGATTTAATTACTAATAAGGAGTGCTTTGGGTAGGAGAATATATTTTTCTGACAATCCTTTATAGCTTACTATGAGTTCAACTTTTACTGTCTCAGATTCCATATCTACTCATCATTTTGTATTCCGTTCCAGGTATGTTCACCAGAGATAGCATCTCTTCCTACAAAATTCTCACATTGTACGAGCAACTCACCAGAAGATAAACATTTAAAAGAAAATAACAAAAAAAATAATTTAAACCTCAGTACCTACCCTGGCAAGCTGATTTCATTTCTCTTCTGACCATGACGATCAAAAATTTTCACAGCATGATCACCTCTAAAAAAGATTAACACATAGAGTAACTCCCTTTCTTTGTGATTTCTACAGACAAATGCAATAAATATTTGTACTCTTACCCTGTTACAGCAAGGAAATTTCCCAAAGTTTTCTGCCAAGCAAACTTCACAGGGGAACCAGACCAAGCTTTTTCTAATAGACTGAATACTTGCTGGGAGACAAAAAAAAAAGCAGGAAATTATATATCTTAAAATCATAGGGATATAACAATAAACAACTTGCTAACACGTTAGCAACTGTGAGTACTGTGGAATGAAAAACCCACCCCTCAAACACAACTTCTGGGTGATTCTAATGCACCAAAGCACCTAAATTCCACAGAAAAATCTTTCTGTTTGTGCTGGAAAAACTGAAGTTCCTGGTGCTGGGTGTCTGCACTGAGAACTACTGTGACTTTATCACAACTATTATTTTTTCTCTTACAGAGTTACTGGAATAAAAAAATTGCATGAGACTCTCCCCTTCATATCTGAAGACCACAATGTTTAGTTCTCTGAATTTCATTGGAAAGTCTGGGACCAGAAAGCATCCTTAGTGTGTAAAATGCAGAAGGCTCCACATCCATGGTTTTAAAGATATGGAAGTATTTTGTCCTCTCTGAATTGTTGAGTCTTAAAAGCTGAGACCTCAAAGCTACTCAACTGTAAAAAGAGATTCTGACTTCCAACTGAGAAAGTTTCTCAAATTCCTTTTCCTTGCACACTACCTACACAGATTTTTCTATAACTTCGGTGGAAGATAAAGCCCAGAACTTACTTTGTTTCACAGATTGCAATCATGACTTTTCCCCTCCCACGTCATCAGATAATCACCAACATCTGGTGTCCACCAATTGCCTGGCAGGCTTACTCAAGCCTTTGCCAAAGGTCCCCCATTCCCTCTTTCAGATGAAGGTAAACTGAGGCATTCTTCACAACAAATTTGCATTTTACTCACAAAAAAGTGTTAAATTACGAGCACCACATGCCAAAAGCACAAAGAACACCTGACAATTATGCTTGATTTTGAAAAAAATTTAATAAAAACTGTAATAAATCAACGATAAAGAAAATCATTACGGGAGTGCAGGTCAGCTCCAGGTCTTCAGGCTCTCACTGTAAAGTAACGCATAAACTAACCCCGCCTCAGGGGTTTGAGTAGGAAATTCTCCTTTTGCCCCAATCGTTTAGCCGTTGCCCGAGGAGGGTTCCTCACACCCCTCCCCGTGCCAGGGCCAGCATTAAGGCACAGGGACACGGCGGCAGAAGACGTTACAGAGAGA